TGACAAATAAATTATTATTTAATTTCTCTGTTGCTGCGTTGAATATTTCATTCCAGCTAAGCGTTAACCACAAGCAGGGTGCTACATTTTATGGTGCCTGCGACTCGGATCAGTGGTCTGCTGGAACGCAGCTCCTTCGCCTACTGAGCAGGGTACAAGACAGAGGATCACTCCACTGCCTACTCAGCGCGCAATGGAAAAACTTTTTTCCTAGAGGGAACGCAGCAGTTCTCGGCGTCTGTCCTGATTACCCTGCCCCACCGCGACGGCGAACGGGAAAACCCCCCCGGGGGGGGGGACGCAGAGAAATAAACAGGGAACACGAGCTTAAGGGTAAAGTTGCACTAAGGGGTTTTGGCCCTCCAATTAATTGGGAGGAAGAGAAGTTCCTGATCAAACTTCTCTGCGTCTCAGTAAAATGGGGAACATGAGTACGCTAGGTGGCTTGGGGTACATCAAGATTGGTGATCTGGGTGTAGGAAGAAAGGGAAGTTGGTGGAGGTAGTGGTTGGGAGGTAGTTGTGTGGTTTTAAAGTATCTAGCGCCATTGGCCATGTGTGAGAAAGTACAATGTGTAGCTGACGCTAAGTGTTGGAGTGAGTGCTACTTCGTTTTCCCAGTAAGGTGTGTGTGTGGAGTGACTGAGTGGATACTTTCAGCAGGGCCATTACAATGGGAGTTTGGGTGGTTTTTCAAAGGGGGGAGAATACACCTCATTGAATGTATGTTACAATAATTTTAAGAGAAAGCCTTCTCAGGGGCATATGGAGTCAAAATTTGATGGCCAGAGCGCTTCGAGAAATGTTATGTGAACTAAGAGTGGCCAAAAGCAAAATACTGAAATGGCCATCTCCTCAAGGAACCTTTGATATGAAATTTACGTAAGCAAACTTTGGTCTAGAACATTCGCCAAAGACAAACTGGAGGGGTTGCCCAGAACAATTTTCATATTTTTATAGTATTCCTGGCTTGAGCAACATTTAAATTAAAAATCCTCCATGGATAAGGGAATGCAAAGTCCCAACGATGCAAAATTATTGGCTGTTAAAAAGCCGTAAGCTTAGGAAAGGAATCTGTTGCCAAATTAAACTCAAAACCCCATTTTTTGAGGGACCAGAGGAAGAGGTGCTTCCACCTCCACCTATGCCTCGCACACGATCGAGAGGTGAGCCTAATTCGAACCCTTCACACCCATGTTTGTAACCCCAAGGCAAGGAAAGTGGAATGAATAATGGGGCTTGGAGTCACAGAACTTGATTCCTTGATTTTAAGATTTATGATAAATATCTTCTCAGGAGGCCATTTTGGAGTCCTATACATAGATAGCCACAGCAGAAGTTGGTTATTCCACCTGTGTGAGTCCCAGTAGAACTCCATTCTCAAAACAGTCTCTTTTAGTGGAAACAAACTGATGATGCCTACCCCAAACCCCTGTTACATTCTGATTATTTACACGAAGTTACAGGGAGACCCTGAAAATCGGTTCAGCAAAACAATTACAGCCTAGGCCGTATAAGAGTTTGCTAAAAGATACGCCTTGGGACCAGATTACCATCCCCTATGATTTGAGGCTGGCCCTATCTAGTAGCAAAGGCGCAAGTGAGTAAAGGTCACGTAGTTAGCCGCTTGACTGGTGTGAGCGTATAGACGAATAAGTAAGGTAGATAGTGTGGATGCACTTGAGGGAGGAGCCTGGGGGGCCTCCGGCTGTGCTGGTTAATGGGCACCTGGAACAAGGCACCTTGACTTCGGTCCTTCCAGTACATTCCCATTCACCGACTACGGGTCTGATGAATTGAAAAACACCGCCATCTTTCTCGCAGAAAAACCTTCAGGCTAGATGGACTTGGGTGAACTTCAATAGTAATAGTCCTACTTGCAGGTTGTCGACAGCTCCTGAATACTCTCCTTCCACCACTGAGGAAAGGAGAGACAAAATTGAAAAGGCACAGATATATTTTGCGTGAGCAGGCCAGAGTGGGAAAATATTTTTAATATTGGACCGTACATCTCCAAGAAAACTTTCCCTTGGAAGAATCCTAATTGGGAATCCAAACAATGCAATTCACCTGGCCAGGCTTACCACCTACCGCAGATGCTTGTGCCAGGTATCTGAACAAGGGCATGGCAGAAGCCCACTAATATGTCTAAAAGTTTCAGGAAGGGTTAGATGTGGTTACCCATAAGCATGTTTCGTGTTCAGTGGCACACCCCAAAAAGACTTAAGTTGTCACATTTTTGAGCTCCTGTACATGGGAGGCGCCACTCCTTTGTTAGGATATTCCAACTGACCTAAAACAAATAGGAGACTATGAGACACAGGGACAAGTGCAATCTCTCTCCCGTTGTTTTTTGGTCTCTCTACCCGTGTTTGTTTGTTGTTGTTGTTTTTATCTTAACAGGTGGACGCCTCGGCAACACGCCGTGCAGCATTGCCTGCCGATTCATCAAGTCCGGCTGGCATAGCATATGGGTGAAAGAGTGGAAACGTGATCCCACTTGCACCTAAGTGGGCGTGGGACCTTACAACGTCTGGTGCTCTCTACTCTAACAGCGGTGAAGTAGCTGAGGGTGACCCCGCTGGATTCATTCACTCCCGTTTGAAGAAGTCCGAAGGCAGTTGGACGTGCAAAAGTGACCCTTAGATCTCTAACTGACTCTCTCCAACAACCCCTGTATCTGCCTACCGGGAACGGCTTAGGTCACGGGCAACATTAGACGACCGGCCTGCTGCAGCCACAAACCTGGAAGCTGGCGACCTGCGCACTGCCTGAAGCTTGAGGAAGCGTCTGAACAGAGACCTGTGAGCGGGAAGATTCTCTATACATTTGATTGACTGCCCCCTTGTGGAAACAATTATCAGAGATATTACACATTGGGGATCTTGGGATATATGTTTTGGTCTTGTGGTTCCCCATTTCTGTCAACTGGGGGAATTATATGGGGGACTAATAGCTTTTATGCTATCACAATAAGGTAATCTTTTTGTGGAAGGAATGCATATGCTAGACATCAACATGATTTTTATTACTAATCTGATCCCTTTGGGAAGGGGAGGGTCCTTGTATCTGACAAATTTGCTAAATATGGATTCCGCCATAACCACAATATGTGGGTATGGTAGCCAATGTGCAAATAGAACCAATACCTTGTTTGCTCTCTTTGCAGATGATTTAGAGGGAGGTGGTGCCCTTAAGCG